TGCTCCACCCATATGAGCAGCAAAAACACGTTTTTAGACCAAATATTACAGATTTGAACAAATACGCAAAAAAACATCAAACTTAGCACAGAAACAGAACTATATAACATTTTAGACACATTCTAGACAGTTTATTAGCTAAAAATAGTTAATTTTGGGGGTAAGTTACTCTTTAAATGTGAGAGGTTAAAATAGCTGAAAGTATGCTGAAGTAGTTAAGTCCAAAAAAACCGTCCAGAAGAAGCTATAAAAAGGAGAGCAGCAGTGTGAATTCTGACTCAGCGTTTGCTGGAAAAGCAGCATTTTGAAGGGGTTGTGAAGTTTTTTTTCCTCTCTCTGCAGAGGCTTGTCATGCTCTGAAGTATCAATTTTGTTTCTCATGTTGCGTTTTCACGTTTTCCGCAGACAGTGAAAGAGGAGAAGACGTGGAGTGTGCGCTCGCAGAGCTCCGAGCTCCTCCAGGCTCTGCTGTCCTGGGTCAGGACACAGTGGGAGGCCATGTTCGGAGTGAAACTGCACACAAGTCTGCAGGACAAAGCAGCATAATGTGTGTGTGTGTGTGTGTTCCTGTCTTAAGGCGAGAATAAAAAAACAAAGAGAGAAAAGGTGTAGCGAGCGTGAGCGAGTTTGTCTTTGTTCCCTCTCTGCCGTCTGAACTCAGTCTGGTCTCGTTACACTTCCTCGTTGCTTCGAGCCAAGAGCTCGGAAAGGATCACAACTCATTCATGTGGCACACAAGCCCGTAAAAGCTCCACTTGCATAATTCCTCCTTCACACCATAACACGCATCGTTCTGATACACCTAATAGATTTTACAGAAACTAACCGAAGATTTCTGGAACTCGTTCACTTTTCAAGTCGACCCAATCCAAGATGGCTGCCACAGCTAATCAGAAGTAGCCTACGCAGGAATGGCTACACCTCAGTGAAAGTTCAAACACTGAATTAAAATGTTTTAGTAGCTGAGGGTCGACCACAAGACGTAGTGCTAACAGTAAGTGATTTATCATCCTTCTATAACAGGTGTGCACCTTAATGCGTGTTTTATTCCTAAATCACCGGTAGCGTTCAGGGTTTGGCCGGCTGGGATTAAGAGCATTAGTTGGCTTTAAGGATTTTTTTCCTGAAATGTGGCCATCCATCCTCCCCCACCCCTCATTACAGCTTAGCTTAGCGGTGTCTCGTTTCAGCATCACGCGCTGAGCACGAGGCGGCAGGAACCCCCCCAAAGCCTCCAGACCCTCGTCAAGCGACACCTTGAACATTTAGCCTCCAGTTAGCGTCTGAACTTTGTCCCAGTAATGGGCTCTAAAAATGAAGGAGCGGCAGGGACTTCACTGGAGATGTGAATTAGTTTGTTTTCACAGCAAATGTGTGGGGGTTCATTGGGTTTGTCTTTCGTTGTGAGAAATGGATAAAAATCACTCCAAATGCTACTGCTTGTGCAGTTTCTGTCATACAGTTCAGCAGCTGGGACCGCCAAGATGTGAAACTGAACAGAGGCTATAAAAATCACAACATATTCATAATTCAGACAATTTCACCTAATTTGTGTTTTGTTACTTGTTTCAGAATGATATGATGTAAAACGCTGTCTTTTATTTTTATATAAATGTGTCATGAAACTGGATTATAAATGTGTTCATTGTGTAGTTTTTTCACTAACTACTGCATACCTACAGCATGCTCGTGTCCAAACATTCAGCTCCTTTAGGACATTTTTATACAGTACTTTTGGAAATATTTCATTTTATTTACAATATTTCCCCCCTTTGAAATGAATGGAAAACTTGGTGGTCTTTTGTTTGCCGTGGTCCTCTGTGAGAAAAGGGTGGACTTCCCTCTTTGAGATGGGACTGAAGTGCTGCTGTAGGAGTTGTCTGTCTCTGAGTCTTGTTTACAAAGGGAGGGAAGAATGGGGCGTGAGATTGACGGATGGATTGGGCCAGCTTCTGCAGGATTGTGGACTCGGCGACGGCCCGTTGTGATGAAGACAAGCTCTGTTTAGTAGTGAGTTTATGTTTCTACCCTCACCTAAGGACATGAACTTTGGGTAGTGACTGAAAGAATCAGACTCTGATGCTCTCCCATAGAGACAGGGTGAGAAGGTCAGTTCTCCAGGAGGTGCTCAAGAGTAGAGCCGCTGCTCCTCCACGTCGAGAGGAGCCAGTTGAGGTGGTTCAGGAGTCCTTCCAGGAGGACTTGGAAAGAGATGTCTGAGACCCTCTGATCAAGCTGCTGCCCCCTGAGCATCAGTGGTGGACAGTGGTGGAGTACATTTACTTGAGTCCTGCACTTAAGTACATTTTTTGAGTATCTTTACTTGAGTAATTATTTTTTGGGATACTTATTGCTTTCACTCCACTACATTTCAAAGGCAAATATTGTACTTTTTACTCCACTACATTTCTAGGAAGCTTTTAGTTACTTTTGGTTCAGCAACTTTGTAATCAGCTGTTGCTGTTTTTCTTTCTTGAAATGCAATTGGCCACACTGTTCCTCATGGGGAACCAGTCACAGTTGTAGCTCACATCTAGGATAGATTTGGAATTACATCATCTTCATTAACAGTTGCAGCTGAGCTTCACCTTTGTTCCAAACAGAACCCAACAATGCAGAGAGTAGTGAAACCAACACACCTATGATCATATCTCAGCTCGATGTTTGAGATTTTAATCCGAAAATCGCATGATTCTATTGGAATTTTTAATGGACATGGCCAAATGACTCCACAGCACCACCTAACGTGAGATAGAGGAACCGGTAAGCCCTAGAGCACTGAAATTCGAGATATATGTAGATCTCCCCAAATCAGGAAAAAAAGTCTCTTGGAGGTATGCCCTAAAACCAACAGGAAGTCGGCCATTTTGGGTCAAAGGTTAAATTTTGGCCGATTTTCAATTTCGCTCACGTCGAACCTTTGCGAACTCCTCCTAGGAATTTTGACCTATCGGCTTCAAACTGGGTCAGTATGCTGTTAAGACATGGGGGATTAAAATTTATCAAAACGGTGAGTTTTTGAGTGTTAGCTGTTAGTTACTATTTGTTAGTTTTATTTATTTATTGCTGCTGTTTTGCTAATTGAAGGTTTTACCTATTCAACTAAATTGTCTTAGATATTTTGCTCATTTTAGACTTCCGTGGTTGAGTGGTTGAGTCATCCTCCCTGGTCCTCCCCCACCCCGACCCCCCGCTTCCAAACGCAAAGAGAAGGGGTTATCTGCAGAATCAAAGTGGGCGTGTCACAAGAGTGGGCGTGTCAAAAGCATAAACACTGTGGGCTACGAGGCCTACATGACGGTATCCTTAGATCCTGCTTGATCTCTTTACAGCCTGACCCTGACCCCAACACTAAGGTTAACCAGGAGAAGTGTGACCCAAGTTGGGGTCTCCAGAAAAAGTGGTGCCGTACAGTGACGCCCCTTTTGTTTTTGTCCAATCAGGTGGTGCCGTACGGTATCGCCCATTTTTTGTCTGTCCAGTCAGGTGTGTCCCTTTAACAAAGTCCGTCAAATCAGGTGTGTCGCTTTAGAATCGCCTTTCCTTGTGACACGCCCACTCGTCTGCAGAGACCCCTGCTTGGATGCAAAGATGTCCTACGGTGTCTCTCAGGTGTCAAAAACCTTTGATAATCCCAACCGCGATGTCTACCAGCAGCTTCAGGGCTAGTGATGGTTCAAGTGGTAAGATTATGAGCTTTAATAAGTAAAATTATCCCAGCTACAATGACAGACAACAAATATTACATTTATAGTATTACAACTAAAACCGTTTTTGACGCCGCCACCGCAGTTTGTCCTTCATGAGCCTTCGTAGACAAGATGGCGGTGCAAGATGGCGGCTGCCTGTGGTGGCGACCCGCAACCATGGAGATATAAACAGCTGTTTATAAGGTAAAAATAATAAAACAAGGTCTTTGTCTGCAATGATTAGACATGTTTTTTATTATTGTCATTAGTGATTATCTCAATTTCGGCTAAAATAATTGACAAAATCCTGCACACTGTGCCTTTAATTTTCTAATTCTACTTACTGTTTTGCTAGGTTTTGCTTTAAAATATTTATTTGCTAAAACTACCTTTAAAGTTAACCAGTTCCATGTTTTATTAATAAATTTAGCGATTATTTACTGTGTTTTTTCAGCTTCTTCAACAAGTTTCCACAAAGTCCTTCATCACTCAGCACCACACTTCTGAAAATACTCATTTTTATTTTTCTCCACAAGGTTCTTCTTTATTTTTTTATTTTTTAAAAACATCCGAGTTTTGTTTCCTTGAATGGCGGCAGAGCAATAAAGTTCTAGCTTGTGTAAAATAATTTCCACATTAGTTCAGGCCAAGCCAGGCCCATCATATCTTCTGTTTTAAAGTTCAGACTCAAAGGAAACCTTCCACCTGATGAAACTTGCCTCTTGTTTGTCAAAGCAGCGAGACATTATTCATGCCTCATACCTGAATTCATGTCTCACGCAGCTGATGTTTAAACTTTAAAAGGGGGGAAATTTTTCTCTGCAAGTCTAAACTAAACCAACAGATGTAGAAAGGAAAAAAAAAAAGTAAATGACAGCCCATCTCTTCTGTTATTACCTGTGACTCCTGTGCAGAGACGTGGAGGAACTGAGAGGAAGTCTTGTCTTTTCGTAACAAAACGTCCTGTTTTGAGCCCCGGCTCAGCTGTTATAGTCATCCTGTTTGAGTGTTTTTCAGACCGAGTGGTGTGCAGATGTTGTCCACATGTTTGGTGGATCACCTTCGGCACAGACCACGTGGCAGAGCTCCTTCACCTTCCTCCTCCACGAACCAGTGAACGGCAGCGTGTTTACTCCCCGATGACTGGCGACCACTTACCCGCATCCCCGGGCAACCTCTGTAAATCTGATGCGGGCAATTTACAGCGCCTCATTTTCTGCTTCGTTTCAGCTCTCGTCTCCACAAGCAGAAGGTCAAAGGTCACACACGGGTGAAGGACGAGAAGCTGGAACATGTGATGGACAGTTCAGAGGTTTTGAATTGAGATTCTGTTGAAAATGTTACATTTTGTGGTAAAATAACGAATGTCAAATGTCATTACAAAACCCTCATAACTGTCCATTTGGGGGCTTTTTCCAGACCTCAGGGGTATTCTGTAAAATTAAATTTTTTTTTTCCATGTCAACTTTGTATTTAACGTCCTGTGAGTGTTGCATTTTTGTACTCTGTGAACTAAAGTTTTTATTTTCCTCCCTGTTTACTGTTTTTCATCAATATCCAGACTGGATATAAATTAAAAACAGACAAACAAACGTCCTTCCAGTCAGGATCCCATTGTGTAACCATGTCTCCAGAATGTTTTCATTTCTCCGTATATGTTAACTAATAATTACCGTATGCAGGAAATTTTAAATATTAAATGTGATCTAATATGTATCAAGTATACTTTAAATATATAATAAACCTAAAACTAATTAGATATAAAAATTCTTTAAAAAATTCCCCCAACATTATTTGTCTAAATATTCTTCTTCTGCTTTTGTTTTTATTTCTTATTTTTTCTTCTGTTTCTTACTTTTAATATTCATCTTATTTTCATTATTTTTTGTTTCTGTCTTGTGCTTATTTTTCTTTATTCTTATTATTTTTACACCACATACTTGTCCCTGCAGAATTTGCTAAAAAAAAAACATGGTCCTGAATTTTCTTAATGTATTGATAAGATTTCTACTTATTAGCAAACACAAATAGCAGCAGCAGCAAGCTGTAGCACTTCCTCAACCTTGGTTAAAATAATGTTTCTGCTAAGCTATTATATAATGTTGACAGTAATGGAAAAAAATTGTAAAAGCATCAAAAATGGGAAGAAATTTTGTCTCCAAAATGACATTCAAGAAGCTATGTACCGCAGGTAAGATATTAACTGTTCATAAATTTTCACTGAATCCTTCTTAAAAACACTTTTTCAGGAGTTCCATGCAGAATGGTTTCAGCCTTGGGTGTTCTGAGACATCACTGCTCTTCTGCAACAGAAACTCAGTCAAATGTTAGAAAATGCGCAAGAACAGTCGACGCAAAAAATAAACACTTTTAACCAACATTTAATTATTTTTTCAGAAAATTTCTTCAGCTCTTTCGCCTTTTTCTAAGAAGAAGGTGTGAATTAGTAATTAAAGCAGATTCAGATGTTTTTTTTCCCTCCAAAGAGAAAAAAAAAAGCTTACAATGGAAGGCACATAAAACCAGGTTTATGGTGAAACATATTATACATCATTAATTCTGCTTTGATCTGGCACCATTTCTCTCCCTCCCACATGTTCAAGCACACTTTTTACTCTCTTCAATTTATTTATTTTTTATAAATATTTTTTGTCAATCTAAGTTCTGTTTCCTGAACTTGTGTCACTCTACAGTACTAGGAATAATAATAATAATAATAATGATGATGATGATGAGTTTAATTTGTATCGCACTTTTCATTAACAAAAATCTCAAAGTGCTACAAAGAGAAAAAAAATATAAAAAACTGTTAAAAGTGATTAAAACATAGAATAAACTACAAGCAAGTAAAACGCCGTATATTTTAGTTGTTTTTGGCTGAAGCCACTGTGAAAGTAATAACCCACCCACCCAAAAAAACAGAAAGAAAGTCAGCATTGAAAAATTCA